GAGCGCCGAGCCCTGCGCTGCCCCCCCCGCGGAATGCCACGCCGCGCTGCGCTCCCCCCGCCGCCCCTTACCAGGTGCCGCCCCAAGCATGTGCTTGGGTGCCTGGTGCCTGGAGCCGGCCCTGCTGACAGCATTTGTGTTGTCATAGTAATGAAACAGTCCTGCAGACGGGGTACTAGTTGCATACTCAAGCTGATGGGTCAGTTTGCTGATGTCAGTGTTTATGGGGCAGACAATGAATGAATACACTGAAATTAATTCACCAGTATCCACTTCCTCCCTGGCTCATTCATTCTCCTCTGCCCATCTCCTCCACCACTCTGTCCACAGCCTGGCAGTGAGTGACCCTTCCACTGGGGCTGCCCATCTCACTGGAACTCTCTCGTTCTCTCTCCAGGGCTATGAAACAGGGATGGGACCAAGTCACAAGGGTTCTGAGCTGGATCCAAACTCCCCCAGTGTCCAAGGGGATCACATCCAGGCTTTCCCCTCAGATCCATCTCACAGAGGATGAGCCTGAACCTCCAGGGCTGACACTGGATCCACCCTTCACGTGAGAGGTTCAGAGCTGGTGTCAGTCTGGTCCCATCTCTGCTGATGCCCTTTAGTGATGGGAGGAAGTTTGTGTGATGGCCGCCATCTTTGCATGAGCTAAGAGCCAAGACTCTCTAGGTGAGGTTGTAATAGTCTCATGTCCTTTGCAGATGGGGACACAGGGGAAACCTGTGACTCGCTCACCAGTGGGTTACATTTGCACCCTTCACTCTTACTTTCCTCGCTTGTTTATGACTGACTCTCTCTGCAGAGCAGCTATTGAGCAAATAGGATAAACGTGAAACATACAACATACAGCTCTGTGGTGGCGGATGTGAAAATCTAGGGCAGGCAATGCTGTGACGTTCTCTTGAACTCATTTGCCTTTCATGGGTCCCTAGGTTGTGAAGCTCTGTCGTGAGTGTCTGAAGAAACAAGAGCCCGTACTGGGAGACACTAACATCTACCTGCTGAAAATCCTGAGCATCGCTTCGGAAGTGCTCTCCTACCTCCAGATGTTCGAGGAAGCATCAGGCTATGCAAAGAGGATGGTTGATGGTTACATGTACGTGATCAAATCGCCCGTTTTCATGATGGCTCTTTTTGGCCTGGTCCACACTAACCCCTCACTTCAAACTAAGGTACGCAAATTCAGCTACGTTAATAACGTAGCTGAATTCGAAGTACCTTAGTTCGAACTTACTGCGGGTCCAGACGCGGCAGGCAGGTTCCCCCGTCGATGCCGCGTACTCCTCTCGCCGAGCTGGAGTACCGGCGTCGACGGCGAGCACTTCCGGGATCGATCCGGGATCGATTTATCGCGTCTAGACAAGACACGATAAATCGATCCCAGAAGATCGATTGCTTACCGCCGGACCCGGAGGTAAGTGTAGACCTACCCTTTGATTCTATAATTTAATTAAGACATTTCTACAAAGAATCTGGACCTGACGCTGCTTTCGCTTTACAATGGTGTAAAACAGGAGTAAGTCCACTAAGGTCAGTGGAGCGACACTGGTGTAAAACCTGTATGACTGAGCTCAGAATCAGGCCCTGCTTTTATCACCAAGGAGAGAAAGAGTTTTGCTCACTTTGTGAATGGAAAGTTCCAAAACAGGATCATTTTTCAATTTATCTGCATATAACTTCAGAGGGGGGCTGGACAGGTTTAATTAACCCATCTCTTTTGTCTGAGACGCTGCCCAGAGCTGCTTAGATGGTGTCAGAGAAATTAGACATGGAAAAGCCCTATCATTATGTAAAGAACACCCTGTGCGCCTGGAATGTGATCTCTGACTGGTAAAGAGATGCTACGGTGATAAGAAAACTGCTGGTGGATTGCACAGGTGTCACCAAGTGCAAATTTTTGTCTTGCCCTTTTACTTTGCACCACTTCATGTCACATCTAGCCCTTGCTCCTGCTAGTAATTGTTCCTTGCAGTTTATTCCTGAGTGTCAGAGTCAGTGTTTAAGGCCAGAAGGGTCTAGATCATCCAGTGTGACCTCCTGTATATCACAGGCCACCGACACCCACCCAGGACCTGCACACTAAACCCAACAACTGAAGTCAGACCAAAGTAAATGAAACCCATGGAAGACTAGAGTATTATGTGTGACAGGCAGAGAACAGGAGGGACTTAGGTGCACCCGTGCCCAAGGCCCCCACAATGGCAGGGAAATGATTAAATAAGATATACCCAGATAATCCTGGCGAGTCACCTGCATCCCCTTCTGCAGAGGAAGGCGCAAAATCCCCAAGGTCCCTGCCAATCCGATCTGGGGGAAAATTCCTTCCTGACCACACACATGGTGATCAGTTAGACTCTGTGCATGACAGCAAGAACCATTCAGCCAAGCACCTGAGAAAGCAAATGCTTGATACTACCCCAGAGCCCTGGCCCACTGCACCCAGTGTCCCGTGGCATCCCTGATGCTTCAGAGGAAGAAGATTAAAAAAACCCACATGGGGGGCGGGGGGGGGGAATCCCCTCCTGACCCCGTGCAGAGAGCTTGGGCCAGTCCCATTTTAAAGGACTCAAATGATGGGGGTTAGGAGACAGGCCTTTAGGAAATAATATATATTCAACCTTGTTTTGGCTCTTGAGCTTTTCCATTGTGAAATAGTCTCTTGCTTTGTTGGGGCATCTGCACCTGGAAGCTGCCTTCCTTCCTTCCAACAGCTGGCCATCAAGAGGTGATTGGCCAGAAACAAATACCCAGTTGGTCTAGAAAGAGCCTCAAACCATCTAGAATTTCCTTCCATCTTAGCAGCCCAGCAGCATCTGATCCAGGTGCTTCCCCCATGTTGTGATAATTTTAATGTGATCTCCTTTTGGACAGCCCAATCATACATGATGGAAAGTGCTCTCTCCTTTGCACACTCTGTATCTACTTCTTTACTGACTAAACCAAGTTTCTACTGCAAAGCCAGTAAAGCTATGGAGAAGTGGGTTGGGTTTTAGTCTGTTCAGGCTAAGGCTCTCCAATTTTTGTTTTTCCTCCCTCATACTAAGTGTAGCTCAAATGACAAAGTGAGCACAGATTCTTAGAAATCACAGGTTTTAAAATCATAGACATTAGAAGTGGAAAAGGCCTAATTCATTCTCCCGTCAAAGAAGAATTGTTCCCAGGAGTGTGTTGTTTGCCATTTTGTCCAGTTTCATTTTAAATGCCTTTGACCGCTGTTGTTTTATGAGAGGCCGCGTGGTCCAGGGGAAGGATCAAAAACCAGGAAATGGAACCTACATTCAAGTCCTGGCTCTGCCGCTGATCTACTAGGTGACGTGAGGAAAGTCATTTCACCTTGCTGTGACTCAGAGTCCCCATCTGTAAAATGGGGACAATGATACTTTCCTTCCTTTCAGGGCCGGCTCCAGGCACCAGCTTACCAAGCAAGTGCTTGGGGCGGCCACTTCGGAGAGGGGCGGCACGTCCAGTTGTTCGGTGGCAATTTGGCGGACGGTCCCTCACTCCTGCTTGGAGCGAAGGACCTCCCGCCGAATTGCCACCGCAGATCGCGATCGCAGCTTTTTTTGTTTGTTTGTTTGGCTGCTTGGGGCGGCCAAACCCCTGGAGCCGGCCCAGCTTCCTTTGCAAAGTGCTTTGAGATCCACAAATGAAAAATGCTACATAAGAGCTAAGCGTTAGGTTTAAATGTAAATTCAAGCAATTGATCACTGTGCTGGAACTGCAATGTTAGGGGCATAGCACCGGATCCTGATTGCAGTTATATTGATGGCATGTGGTGTTACAAACCTTCGGAGCCTGTATCAGAGCTTAGCAGACCTCGCTGTCAGCATGTTGTTCGTTCCCAGCCAGGTTCTGTCACACCGAGCAGTAGTTCCCACTTCCAGCAGTTGGACTGATTTCAGTGGGGGCTACTCCCAGATTGAGGTACCGCTCAGTGTGAGTAAGCGTGACAGAATCTGGCCTTCAGCAAACAGTGTTTTCAGGTAATATTTACATTTGGAAAGTTAGACTCTCACCACAATGAAATTTCTCAATGTTTTCCCAGGAAAATATACCATCCCAACAATGCGCAGTTAGGGATGGCCGTGATGCGGGCCGGGGTGACCCACTGGCATGCCAGTCTCATTGAATCAGGGCATGGCATGATCTGCAAAGCCTATGCTATTCTTCTGGTGACCCATGGACCTACCCACCCAATCACCAAAGACCTGGAGGTAGGTGGCCAGTGTCTCTTGGACAGTTCCTACTTTGACATGTGTCTGTGTAATCTGGTTTGTTGTCGTTGTATATGAAGAGTTAAATTTAAATAAATGGTGAAGCAGATGCCTAAAAAGCTGGGAACTGATCATATAAAGCTTGCTTCATGCAGTGTGATGTTAATATGTTTTCCATTAGATTACACTAGAGCTGGTTGGAAAATGGAATTCCCATCCTCTGGGACATTCCAACGTTTTAACATTGGTTTTCATCCCAAATTGGGAGAAAAAGTCAAAATACAGTATTGAAAACTTTCATGGAATGAAAAGCGATAAAAAAATTGGAAAGGTTAAAACAAGCTGTTGATTCGAAATGAAGTGTTTCATTTTGGAATGTCGATTTGAAACGAAAATGTTCATATCTAACAGATATTTTGACTAAAAGTTGACATTTTAAAGTAAAAATGTCAATTCAAAACAAAGTGGTTCATTTCCAAATGCGGCGTTGGGAAATTGAAAAATGTGACATTTTCCGATCAAGTTATTTCGCTCATCTCTATGTTAACCACAGAATTGGCTGTAGACTTTGCTGGGCCTTTGGAGAAGTGACATGTTCTCCTGCCAGCTCCGTCCTCACCTGAACTTGGATGGTGGCACTGTGACTGCTAGGTCAGGGGTGTGTGTGTTTGAGAGAGAGAGAGACATGCATAGGTGTTTCTGCAACCGCCTCAGTAGTATAGGCCTAAAGTCACTGCCAAATGTGCATTTTATTTCCTCAGCCCATAATAAGGGGCAGTGTGTTGCTGTGCTCTCCCAGGAGCTCCCTAGGAAAGGAATTGTGCTTTAGTGACCCACTTCATTCCATTGTAACGCCAACAGGCCCCAGTCGTCAGCGGGTGGATCGAACCTGGGACCTCTGGAGCTGAGTGCATGAGCCTCTACTGCATGAGCTAAAAGCCCTTAGCGAAGGCTGTAGAGCAGACTCATTTGATCTCTCTCTCTAAGTGGTCTTGATGCCACTCAAATGGGACAAAACACCAGGAGGTGTGTGGGTTACATATGCTCTCCCCTTGCTCCCGAGATAGTAATTTGTTGCTGGCTTACAGAAGCAGCAAATTACTGCCCCCCTTTCTCCCAGGCACACTGACTTAGCTCAGTTGGCTGGTGTATTGGAGGATGGAGTCAAGGCTCTGCTCATTCCCTGTTGCTCCCTGCCCAGCTTCTCCAGGAGGAGAACAGTGGGCTCACAGCACCCATTTACCCTTGTGTGCCTGGATCCAAGGCCAGCTGGCCTGCAGAGGGGTGTAAAGGGAATCCTTAGCACCCCTTCTCTGCCTGTATAGGTGCAGGGGCAGCCCTGTAATCTAGCACTGGCCATGAATTTGTGCTCATAAAGAACTCTTGCCAACTTTGGGAACTTTGGGAAAGGGAACCTGTATTTGTCTGCAGAAGAACCACAGCAGACAGTGGCAGTGCAATCTATGCCACGCTGCCTCACCACTAATTAGCTTGGTCTAGGAGGGACCATGGTTGGGTTTGGGAGAGTAGCTGAGTCTCTATGTTTAGGCAGCCTTTGGCCTCCCTGATGAGGGATGGGTTATGGAACCGGACTGAGGTCATCCTCCCTTGTCATATGGGCCACTGAATCGTGATTAGGTGGTACCGATGTTCAGCCATCTAACAGAACTGGGGAGCAGGAGGCCACTATCCTAGCTTAGAAGGTACTTTATTTCTTTACTTTGAGAGAGATTGTAGAGTTTTCACCACTTGGCCTGCCCTTTGATTTCATCCCTGCAGGTCATGCGTGTCCAGTCAGAGATGGAGCTGCGCATGTTCCAACAGAATGAGTTCATGTATTACAAAATGAGAGAAGCAGCCCTGAAGAACCAGAAGATCCAAGTTATGGCTGAGCCCACCAATGAAGCACCATCAGGCCTCTTCCACACGAAGCAGTAACCCCATAGCTTCCAGTTATCTGTATTCCTGCACATCTGGTAGAACATCAACCCTTTTCTTCCAAATCTGAAGAGGTTATTTGTAATGAGCACAATGCCATCTAACTAAGAACACATAGATCTCTTGAGAGTGGCTCTTGACAAGTATTCTTCCAGGAGCTCAGGGCACCAGCTAAGAAATATTTCACAGGAAATAGATCCTGTTTCCACAAATAATAAAAGGGTCATTATAGCATCGCTTCCACAATAATTCATTTTAGGGCTAGTTCTCTTCATATAAGGCCAAATCCTGAAGTCCCTCACTTAGACTTTCAATCAGTTCTTTCTCAAGCAAAACTCCCATTGGAGTCAGCAGGTGCTTGCCTAAGTGAGGATGGGGATAGAACCCAGTAAAAATGAGGATGGACTACAGGGTTCGGCCCAAAGGGAGTCTTGTCTGTGTGAGGATTGAGTGAAAACTGAGGAAAGCTATTAGGATTTGGCACTGAGGAAGTTTTAAGTAAAGACACTTTTCCTGCCATTTTTCTATAGTTCAAAAACAATTTTGTAGTGTAGGAACTAACCTGCCGAATGGAGCAGACTTTAGGCAGTACTATGACCAGTATGGAGATTAATTAGAGATCCTACCTTAGGTAGAAGAATTTAGGTACCATTAAGGCCGTATAAACTAGGGTGGCTGACACTGGCCTGCCAAGTAAAAAGTGCATAGACAATGGTTTAAATCTCAGCATGGATGAAGTCAAAACAGGTTAGGACGGTGATCAGAAATAGGGCTCTAGTGTAGGCCCAAACCAGTGTCCAAAAAAGATTGAAACAGAATGGTTAGCTTCCATCACACCAACCAACGGGGCAAGGAGTGGCGGGGAAGCACTGCTTCCCTCGGCCACAATGTGGGAGCTCCCGTCTACTGTTAGTGGAGGAGGGGGAGATGTCCTCCTCACTGCTCCTACTTACTTTAGTCCCCAGTCCTAACCTGGGCTGGAGCACTGTCGGCGTTCTAATGTGCTTTGGCCCCATTCGTGCTGGCTGACCAAACTGTGTCGTGCTTATTCTGTTTCAATACAACAACCATGCTTAAGCCTGGTGTGTAAGTTAATTTGTGAGGCAACTGCAGATGGGGCCTGCAGTGAGTACCACAGATGGATCTAATGTAGTATATAGCCAGGGGGTGGCTTTAGGGCTCGTGTGCCATAGGAACTGAACCCTGATGGGCAGGGAGTGGGTAGAAAGGACGATTCCTTTAGGAAGAGATTGACAGATGTCACTGCCAATATCTTTCCTGCATACTTGGTTTGGTTCAAGAAATGTCAAGTTCAGCTTGGACTTACCTGAGGGTAAGGAATACGATCTAGTGCAATGGGCAAGAGAGTCAGCATAATCTGTGTTCCAATCTCGCCTCTGTCATTGACTTTGGTAAAGTCACTTAATCTCTCTAGCCAAGTTCAGAGCTAAGTCTAAATTAAGCTAAAAAAATGTGAACTCTGGTTAGGCTGGAAAGAACTGTAAATTACATCAATTTAGCTTCACCTTTGTATTTGGCCTTCCGTGCCATATTCAGCAGGTTTAAAACAAACAAAAGGAAATATTTTTCACACAATGCACAGTCAACCTGTGGAACTCATTGCCAGGGGATGTTGTGAAAGCCAAAACCATAACTGGATTCAAAAGAGAATTAGATAAGTTCTTGAAGGATAGGTCCATCAATGGCTAATAGCCAAGATGGTCAGGAATGCAACCCCATGCTCTGGGGGTCCCTAAGCCTCTGTTTGCCAGAAGCTGGGAATGGGTGATGGGATGAATCACTTGATGATTGCCCCGTTCTGTTCATTCCCTCTGAAGCACCTGGCATTTGACACTATCAGAAGGCAGGATACTAAGCTAGATGGACCATTGGTCTGATCCAATATGGCCTTTATGTTCTTTTGTTCACCATCTGTAAAGTGCAGGTTCATAGATCCCCGGCCAAAAGGGACCATGTGCTCATCTAGTCTGACCTCCTGTATAGCACAAGCCAAAGGACTTCCCTGAATTAATTCCTGTTTGAATTAGATCATGTCTCTTAAAAAAACGTATAGTCTTTATTTTAAAATTGCCACTTATGGAGATCCACCCCAAACCCTTGGTCGTTTGTTCCAATTGTTAATTACTCTCATTGGTCTAGCCTGAATTTGTCTAGCTTCAACTTCCAGCCAGTGGATCTTGTTCTACCTTTGTCTGCTAGATTAAAGTGCCCACGAAGGTACTCATAGGTTGTGATCAAGTCACCACTTACCCTCCTCTTGATTAAGCTAAACAGACTGAGCTCCTGGAGTCTAATTGGATGCCAATCCCATCTCCCAGGAGTGCTGGGAAGATTGATTAGATAATGTTTGCAGGGTGTTAAGTGTTGTTGATTTTCACTGCATGGAAGAGGCACAGCAATTTGACAACCAGCTTTGCCCCGGTGTGTATTAATACAGCGTCTCTTTAAACTTTCCTGTACCTAATCCTGTTCAACAGATGCACCTACAAAGCAATTCTCATCCGCTGGTAGTGAATGCTAGACCATGCCCATGCTGCTAACATTATCCTTGAGACTGGGTTGGGTTCTGTACAGCGCCATTAGCAGGTTATGTCAGGGCAAGGGACTCTGTGGACCCCTGCCAGAGATCTGTCCCTGGGCTGATTCTTGATGGTGTACTGGTGGCAAAGCAGTCTGTAACACCACCTAGAGGTCTTCCCCTGGCTTTGCCTGGCACAGGGGAAGGTGGTGTTATATCATAAAGGGTGGTACTTTTTCCAGGAGTTTAACTCTGATGCACCTAGGAGGGAGGGTTGGTTTGTGTGTGGAGCTGGGACCCCTTCCCCAGCCCTGGGAATCCCCAACCTGACACGTGCAAGTAAATTGGAGAAAATTCCTCTGCAAGGTAATTAAGGTTTAAAAATAAATTCCGGACTGTCCTGCAGAGAGCCTGAAACTATGGCTCTGAACGGCTGAATTCATGTCAATGGGTATAAACTCGGAGGCCAATGGAGACACTTTAAACGCCAAAACTGTTCACTGTAAGGCAGGAAGAGGGAAGATGGTATTATGAAGATCTACCATGGTGTTGCCCAATGTATGGGGCACGCCTCACTGGTGGGTGCAAAGGACTAGTGAGGGGAGAGGGTTGTGGAAGATGTGTACATTAAGATGGGTCAGGCCTTTAACAACCCAGTGAGGTTGAAGTGTGTGTGTGTGTGTGTGTGTGTGTGTGTGTGATGGTTTCATATTCCTGAAGCTGTGTTCAACTGTATAAATGTTTGGAAACATCATCTTAACGGGACATTTGATACCTGGAAAGATACTGGAACAAATTATTGAACAACCAGTTTGTAAGCACCTAAAGGATAATAGGATGATAAGTAAGAGCCAACATAGATTTGTCCAGAACAAATGATATCAAACTAGCCTAATTTCCTTTTTGACAGGCTTATTGGCCTAGTGGATGGGGGGAGCAGCAGACATGCTATATCTTGATTTTAGTGAGGCTTTTGACACAGTCCCACATGCAGGACTGGTGCTACCATTAAGGCAAACTAGGCAGTTGCCTAGGGCGCCAAGATTTGGGGGCGCCAAAAAGCAGT